CACGATGCCAGGGGCGTGAAAACTCTGCCAGAATGACTGTCCAAGCACACTTGATATATGCATTTCGAATTTCATTTTAAATAAAAACGCGCTCTTTTTACCAGGTATTTTTACTTGTTAATTTTCATAGCCTTCAAACTTTTTCTCAAACACCTTACGTGATAATTCAGCGTTCTGTACAAATTACTTTTCAAAAAAAAAAGTACACATTTTGAACATTTATGAATAAAATAAGGGTTTGTCAGACGGCTTTTCACTGCAGTGACACTATCACAAAAGAAATATACCTGTTCTTCGGTGGTGTAATATGACATGTTTCCAACATACAGAGTTTTAGAAGTAGCCAATCGCATTTCCTGCTCACGCAATGAACCCTGCAAATTCGCATTTCATACAAAAGATTTTGCACAATTTGGCTATAAATTTGTGGAGAAATTTATCCTTTTAAACACCCAAAAAGCTGCACTAACTTACTCTTTTGTATCAAAGAAACCAGAGACTAGCCACGTGAAGAGGCTGCAAAAACAGATGAAGGAGCCGGATCACTGAATGGTACCCGCATGACACATGACGACGAAACAACTCAACTTTCACCAGCAAAGCGAGACGGAAAATTTGCTACCGATATCGATGATAAGGGGCAAAGCGATCTTTTTTCCATACATCGATTCTATTTTATCATGTTAGACGAAAAACTTGAAATAAATCGCAGTGAGAGACCCAGGAAACATGCTAAAACATCCACTACAATTCACTGTGTGTGAGGAACGAGATAAAAGCACCTGCCAACGGCACTCACTCGCTGCATGACATGCTGTTAGTGGTAAAAAGGCAGCATACCTTGAATCTCTGGTCGCGATATGGGCCCAGCGAGGCCGCATCGTCCTTGGCCCGAAAATTCAACACACTGTTGTGCATTGAGCCGATACTAAAACATATCAGGCAAGGCACTGGATGAATAATCGACGAAGGCATGAAAACCGCGTGTTACAAACACTTCGAAGTGAACAGATCTGAAGCAACGCGAGACTCGCCCAGTCCAAAATCTCAGCCCAATTTTGCCACCGGAAAACCAGTCCCTCTACGATTCTTATGATAATGGCAAGCTGAAGCGCTAGAAAATTAAAACCGCATTCGGCTTGTTCCTGGAGCACCTCCGAATAAAAACACAAAAACACTACGGGATTCTCCTGCCCCACGCCCGGCTTGATCGGATCCTGACCGGAACAAAAAAAAAACTGTCTGTCGAGCAGCCGACACCTGTCCTCTTAACAATTTCCACACGGTTCCCACCAATCACTCTTTCTACAGGAACACTCGTAACAAACTATTTAACTCTACTTTCTTTCTTAACTATCGAATATGAGGCGAGCTGATTACTACTCTTTTTCCGTCTTCCTGCTGCTGGCCTAGAGCGAAAATGTAGCCCGTTGCGCAATAATTAGTTCGGAACCCAACTTTACCCCATAGCTATTGTCCATCGAGGAGCCTTGTTGGTAAGATAGTGATAATCCTCAAGAAGAGCTTGCAAAACAAGCAGTTCGCGTGGTAATTCACCCGATTTTCCTTATCGCCCTTTTTGTGCAGCAGAACAGTTCC